TAATTGCTTCCAGGCACCCAAGACCCAACCCCAAGTTGACCATTTAGACCCACTAAATATATATATCTGTATATAATGTTTTGGTAAATATCATAAACACACATAGGCATGGCTAGGTTTATTACAAAGTAATGAAAAGGGTACGCTTAATACTGTAGTCCACAAAACATGCTTTTTTTTTTTTTTTTTCCCCCATCATACAAATCCGTTTTCTCTCACATCAGGACGCCTGAGTCCTCCGTTTTCTCTCTTAATCTTAGAGTGGACCAGAGAGTTAGTTATTCCTTAGTAATGCCACAGAATTTGAAATTGCAACCCCAATTGCAACTGGGATTGCAATTGTTGAGGCAACTAGATATGTCTGATTACAGCAAATGTGTTATTGTCAATTTGTAGGTGAAAGATTTTATCCTCAACAGATATAGGTTAACATTACACCTGGAGGCAAATGCTTTAAAAAAGCCTAAGGAAGGAAGCATATTCCTTTAACACAAAATATCTGACCAGTATGGGGAGGATTCAACCCCCAATTGCAACTGGGGTTGCAATTATGAGGCAACTAGATATGTCTGATTACAGCAAATGTGTTATTGTCAATTTGTAGGTGAAAGATTTTATCCTCAACAGATATAGGTTAACATTACACCTGGAGGCAAATGCTTTAAAAAAGCCTAAGGAAGGAAGCATATTCCTTTAACACAAAATATCTGACCAGTATGGGGAGGATCATCGTGTCTCCGTCAGGGGGTCGTGGAGTGGTGGTCCAGCAGGCGTCACGGATTTTTATTTGTATTTTTTTTAGGGGGGCACGATGATATGGGATCGACGCACCTGTCGGCAGACCGCGCATGACTGTGTATATATATATATATATATATATATATATATATATATATATATATATATATATATATATATATACATACATACATACATACATACAGTCATGCGCCGTTAACGTGAGATTAAGGATATATATATATATATATATATATATATATATATATACACACACACACAGTAATACCCCGCTTAACGCGGTTTCGCTTAGCGCGATTTCACGTATACGCGGTGCCTCGCCAGAGCCGAACTTTCACTTAACGCGGGTTTTTTCCACGTATAAGCGCAGGGTGTCCGGCTGGAGATGCTATTTTTAGATTCGCCCCACCCGCCTGCCTGCCTGCCTGTTTTAGCTCATAAAATTCATACAAATTATCCGGCCAGAATATAATTTACGTTGCTGGAATTCTTACAATATGATGATCATTTTGAATATAAACATCATAGATTTTGCATTAGACATACAAATTTTAGATATAATGTTTACTCTGAGTAAATATGTTTTTTTTTGTGCAAAATATATGACATTTGTATTCAAAATATTCCTGGTCTTACAAAGAATCCAGCAATGTCAATTATATTATCCTAACTTTAGTTTGAGGTATTATTTATTACTAAAAACGTAAATATTCTGGTTTTCCCACACATCTGGTAGGGAGGGTTGGTGGGAGGTGGGGGGGAGGGAGGGACCAACCGACCACCTGTTATGTGTGAAGAATATTTTTTTTTTATTAACTGAAGATATTTGTTTTAGCTCATAAAATTCATACAAGTTACCCGGTCAGAATATAATTTACATTGCTGGAATTCTTACAATTTGATGATCATTTTGAATATAAACATCATAGATTTTGCATTAGACATACAAATTTTAGATATAATGTTTACTCTGAGTAAACATGTTATATTTCGTGCAAAAATATGACATTTATATACAAAATATTCCTGGTCTTACAAGGAATCCAGCAATGTCAATTATATTATCCTAACTTTAATCTGAGGTATTATTTAATACTAAATGTTAAAATTTAGTTTTTTCACCCAACATCTCTTGAAGGGAGGATTGGGATGGACCGCGCGGTTGGAAGAGGGGGGGAGGCAAGGTGGGGTACTTTGATTGACAGAGCGTGTTGTGAAGAATATTTTTTTTTTTTTATTAACTGAAGATATTTGTTTTAGCTCTTAAATTTCATACAAATTACCCGGTCAGAATATAATTTACATTTCTGGAATTCTTACAATTTGATGATCATTTTGAATATAAACATCATAGATTTTGTGTTAGACATACAAATTTTTTATATACAGTAATGTTTACTCTGAGTAAATATGTTATCTTTTGTGCAAAATATATGACATTTATATTCAAAATATTCCTGGTCTTACAAGGAATACAGCAATGTCAATTATATTATCCTAACTTTAGTTTGGGGTATTATTTATTAAAATTTAGTGGTTTTCCCCCCAAAATTTCTCAAGAGGGAAGAGCCAGGGAGTGTAGTGTGAGAAGAGGGGGAGGGAGTTGAGTCCATTATTTGAATGGACATTAACTTGGCGACTGTATTTCTCTATTTCTCTTAAGTATTAATTGTGTATGTACCATCACAAAATTAAGATGTTATTTTTACTAGAATAGGTATTGTGCTCAGAAAAGTAGAGCTTTGGGGGGTCCGCCAGCTCCCCTATTGGAATTAATCCCATATGTTCTGTTGTTCACTTAACATAGTGCAATTCTCAAGGGAACACCACCCCGCTAATGCAACATTGAAATCATATATATATATATATATATATATATATATATATATATATATATATATATATATATATATATGTATATATATATATATATATATATATATATATATATATAATATATATATATACATATATATACATATATACCTAGACCCCGACTTACGACCGTCGGGACTTACGACCGTCGGGACTTACGACCGCCTCAGATATAGATAAAAAATAAATAAATAAATAAATTTAAATGACACGCATTTTCTATACCGAAACGTTTCCAGTTAATGTAGTCTCCATGTATAATTAGAAAATTATGGGGGCCCCATGTGCATTCAGCTGACTACATTAAAGGTTAAGTGCTCAGTCACACTGTATCCATTCCTTATTATTTATTACTTTCACTGTACTGTATCCATTCATCATTATTCATTACTTTTACTGTACTGTATTTCATTGTAGATTTTTTATTAAAATTTTTTTATTTTTTTTATATCTACTGTATGTCGGACTTACGACCATGTCGAACTTACGACCTGGATTTGGGTCCCTAACCCCGTCGTAAGTCGGGGTCTAGGTGTATATATATATATATATATATATATATATATATATATATATATATATATATATATATATATATATATATATATACAGTCGACCCTCGTTAATTCGCACCCCTTTAATCCGGATTTCTGATAATTCGGACAAAATCTGATTTTTTTTTAGATTTGTAGGAATATTAGCTACGCGGACCTTAAGCTAAAATGCTGGTCCACCCACTGCTGGGATAAAACACCAGCGTCTTTTTGGTTAAATGTAACATCACCACTAGTGTGGGGGAGGGGATGCAACTTTTAGCTTCAGACATGAAAAATATTTACCATTTACTGCCATATTACATACATGTGTGTGTATACGCCTCGGGCTGGTGACAGCTCCTCATGTTTCTGCGGGGGAGGGAAAGATCTGGAAAAACAGCGCACGACTGATGGCTGTGAGTGTGAATGGAGAGGAGGGAGACAGGAGAGGGAGTATAATATCATTTTGGCTTCTTTATTGTCTCACAACATTGGTCAGTTATATATGAATGTATAATTAACCACACCATTAACATAGGCACAGACTTAATAACTTCTGATACCACATTAATCTCTTTATTACGCATTAATAGTTTGCGTAATTAATTCTGGGTTGTAGCCGGAGAAGTTTTACCTTGCTCCTTTCCCATCCCTGTTGCTACCTCCCACTCGTAACCCCCCCCCCACTCGCCCATCAACTTCCTCACACGGGTTCATACTCCCGTGGTTCACAACTCGCGGAGATTAGGATTATTTGGTTAGTGAATCTACCACATTCAAGACATATACAGTACTTAAGAATGATGTAAAAGAGCTATATTATACATATTTGAAAGTCTATTTTTGGATATAACACCCTGTAAACTGGAGGAGTGATTGCTTCGGACGCAGGTTCATACTCTCATGGTTCACAACTCGCGGAGATTAGGATTATTTGGTTAGTGAATCTACCACATTCAAGACATATACAGTACTTAAGAATGATGTAAAAGAGCTATGTTATACATATTTGAAAGTCTATTTTTGGATATAACACCCTGTAAACTGGAGGAGTGATTGCTTCGGACGCAGGTTCATACTCTCATGGTTCACAACTCCCGAAGATTGGGATTGACAACGCTGACTGTAGCAGGTGGAAGTGTGGAAGGGTGTACCTCAATATCTAGTTCTTATTGCTACTAAAGGGAAATTCATTTTTACAAACCAAGGTAATGTAATAGTCTAAGCATAGGATATTTCACCGCCCCTTGTGAATCCCTAAGGATAATGCCATTGTGTGTGCTTTGTGGTATCTAAAGGAAGTAATTTCATTTTCAAATTTTGAAACTAGAAAGCATTCTGGCTTTTTTAAGGCTATGCTTCCCTAGTTTTGTGTGCATTGTGGACTGTCACCAAGTATTTCATAAGGTTTTCCATTGGGCATAAATGACGGATTGAAGTATGGAATCATATTTTATGGCTGAAAAGACCAGCAAAGTAACTGACTTCCTGCCCTCCATCCTGAAGTGAAGTCCTAAATTGGCAAGGTTCTTAGGGCTGGATTATGACCACCGTGTATGATCAGAGTAGACGTCAAGGGAACTAACAGTACAGTAGTCATGATTCTGACCTGACAACCATTAGATTTGTAAGGATTTGTGCTGATTCAAATGGGTGGGAAGGCTATAATTTGTTCATTTTTTGCAGCAATAAACTGTCCATTCAGACAATGGCAATGGTAGGCTTTGTAAAGATGCTTGGCAGTAAAACAACTCGCAGGTATCTCATTCATTTCACTGTCTTTAAAATAAGATTTATCTCATATTTAATTATTACATTTTGGTTTTCCACAGCCACTTGATGATCTTCTGGGACCAACTTATGTGTCATCAGGACCTGCTGGGCTATCAGTGTCCAGTATTAAGGTTCACAAAAGCAAGATTGGACATCTTCCTCCTGCAACACAAACCATTTTCCACAAAGTCTCAACATCACCAGACCGGACATCTACTACTCCTCCCCAGTCATACTCTCCTGCTGTATCTCAGGCTGCCTCTTCCACTTGTTTATTGCAAGAAGTGAAAAGAAAAAACTCTGAATCTAGCTCAGCTACTCTTGATAACCAAGCAGAAAGAGGAGACAAAAGACAACACTTAATGGAGCAATACTTTGAGCAAGTGAAAGACAAAGAAGCTAAGGAGGTGGAATATAAGAGGAGAAAGGAGAGGAGAGAAAGAATGAAACTCAGAGCTTTACAGAAAATAGGAAAAGAGCTCCAAAGTATTGCAAAAGTTCAATTAGAAATCATTAAAAAACAAGATTTAATTTTAGAGGAAATTAACCGATGAGTCTATATATAAAGCAAAACATATATGATACAGTACTTTTTATACATATTCACTGCCTCCTATGAAGAAGTTAGTAAGAGGTTGTCTGCCCGCATCCAAGGAGTGAACTTAGAGTTTTTTGGATTAAAAGAACAATTTGATTTGGTTAAGGTTGGTAAAGGTGTACTGTACAGTGCCACTCATACTCTTTCATTCAGAAAATACACTTTATGACTTTTTTTCTTTTTTTTTTTAAGTTTTATGCTGGAATATGTCTGTTTGTATTGGCACAATTTATATGACTAATTCTCAAGTCTTTTTCTTATGAAAAGTATAAATTGGTAGTATACTGTACAGTAGTATTGACTTAATGCTTTTGGCTTGTGTAAATATTTGATAATTTGCTTTTTACTGTAGTACAGTTTAGTTATTTTTAACAATACAGTATTATGAAATTGAACTATATTTAGTGTAAAAAATTTCTGTTTAACTGTACACTAAAGTGAAACAGATCTTATATTGTATATTAAGTGAGATTTTTTATAAGAGATATCCTTTAAATAGTAAAACTACAATTTGATCAGGCTAATGTAAAGATTTCTTATCTAAGTTTAATGGGATTTTAAAATACAATATTTATACGTGATACCTACATGTAAAGCTACTTATTTTTTCATTGCAAACATTTTCCCACTAGACTGCTGTGTGCCAGGAATCAATAGCAAAATTGCTCTGTCTTTTCTCGTGTTCATCTATTCATTGTAACTGGTGTAATGTCCCCATAAATTGCTCAACATCTGCTCTCCTGTCCTTCACATACTGTACTCTGCTGCATCCAGAAGTTCAACTCCCTCATTAGTGCAGCAAAGCCTCGATAAATAGGACTAATTTGGACAGACTCCAGTCCCAAAAAAGGAAATCTGTTGGGGGTGGAGATGACACTATTAATCTGCACTGTTTAATCCATAAAAGGTCACATTATTATACAGTGGTCCCTCGGTTAACGAATGGTTCGGTTAACGAAATTTCAGTTAACGAATTACCTTCCATAAGAATCTTCAATTCGGTTAACGAACAAAAATTCGATTAACGAAATCCTTACGAACATCATGTTTTGTTGTGAGCATCAGCTGATGGGCTAGTCTGCCAATTCAGTAATTCAGTAATCTGTTCTATGTTTACATTCGTTTCCAGTGGAGTAAACATCAAGAAAATTGTGCTCTTTAATATTTGCGCATTTTTTATATTAAAATTATTGGTCATTCTAAAATTTAGCCATCCAAGCTCTGTCTACATAAAGTTCTTCAACTATTATTTTTGGCTCGATATATGTAACTTTATTAATTTATTGAAACTCATTTAAAGTGAGGTATGTCATAATGAACGGTTTATATAACGAATATTTACATAACAAACAGTTTTTCCTATAAAATTGAAAATGCTAAAACGTACGAAAATTCTACGGCGAACGCGGATGAATATTGTTTCGGGAGTTTAAATGCACATTTACTGTATATACTCATCTATAATTCTACCTCGTTTATAGGTCGACCCTGATTTTTTGACCAAGAAATCATTAATTTATGATATGCCTTTTTTATAGGTCGACCCATGTTTTTGAGGGTAATGGAACAGCAAAACCTTCACTAAAAACACTACGTCCTATAAACTGAGGGTCGCCGTGCCTGAAATACCGAGCGCCAAAGGCAAATTGCTTACCATTATTATGACACTACACTGAAACGCGGGTAGCTTCAGCAAAAATATTGTATATTTCCATTCAAGTTTTTATTCAAGTCAATTAGGAGGGAATATTATTGTAATACAACAGATTTTTTAACTGAAAACCATTCGAAAAGCGACCACGGTAACATCTTTTGAACAACGAAAGAGAGCGAAAGTCGATTGTTTTCGTCATGGTTTTATCCCACCTGCCACTGTAATACGTACGTCATTTCAGCAAAAATATTACATTCCGTGAATGCATTATATCAAGCACAGTATGAATAGAATATCATTGTAATATAACATTATTTTAACCGAAAACTATTAAAAAAAACCAAGTAACATCTCCTGAACATCGGAAGGTTAGGTAAAGTCTTTTGTTTTCGTCATGTATTTTATCCTATTTTACATTGAAATACATCACGTTTCAGCAAAACTACTATTTATTTCCGAGAATATATTCATTCAGGCACAGTTAAGGTAAAATATACATGTGAGTAACAGTTTTTTAACTGAAAACGATTTGAAATACGAGTGTACCGTCTAGCTGATACGCAACAGCTGGTGGTGCGTAGTGCATCGTTGTAAACAATATGAGGTTGAGGTGGATTACCGGGTATTATACAGTTGTACCCCGCTTTACGCGGTTTCACTTAACGCGATTTCTCATATACGCGGTGCCTCACCAGAACCGAACTTTCACTTAACGCGGTTCATCTACTCAATACGCGGGAAGCGGCGCGGGCACGATGCGCACAAGGTCGCCCAGTCATCAAAACATTACCGAGTTCTTCACCCGCCACCCACCACAGCCGGCCCAAGTCAGTGATGGTGATAATTATAGTGAGGATATGGACTTATATGGACTTTGAGGGGTTTGACAAAGAGGCCCTGCAAGCCTCTGTGGTGGATAGTGATACAATTGATACAAGTGATACAGGTGAGGGCCAATAATCTGCCCTCTGCCTCGGAACCAACCCCCCATCCCCGTGTGCCCAGCCATCTTTTCTACTAATGTAAGTGTTAAAAAACCTAATATTATTGATTATTAATTATTAATTGTGTGTGCATACCATCATAAAGTTAAGATAATATTTTTACTACAACATAGTTGTGTGTCGTCAAAAAGTGGAGTTTGGGGGTCGGGCCAGTCTCTATTGGAATTAATCCCATATGTTCTGTTGTTCACTTAACGCGGTACCCTGTGGGTTCAATTGACCGCATTAAGCGGGGTACAACTGTATTAAGTGTGAAATATCGAAGAGGTTTTTATTACCGGTATTTTTTGTAGATCATTGAGTACATGTACTGTGATACCGTATATGATATGATAAGTTAACCTGTCCTAAGAACTTCAACACAGACTACTGAAAGCACTTTGTAAGGTAATTTAGCCTATTGTAAGTTGGTGAGATTCATCTGCTGAAGGCACTGCACAGCTTTTCATTACTAATTGGTACATATTTTACATTTCCATTGTTTACTGGCAGTAAATGGTAAATATTTTTCATGTCTGAAGCTAAAAGTTAATCCTTGTCCTTCCCATCATGCGCAGATCCAACCTAACAAAACTATTACCCATGTAGAGGTCGACCCCCAATTTTTCATTGTTAAGTGGTTGTATTTTGGGGCCTGGAACGGATTACCCCTATAACGAACGAACGCTATAACGAACAAGGTTCTAGAACCAATTTCAGTCGGCCCTTAACATACGCGGGGGTTAGGTAACAGAGATACCCGTGAATGTTAAAAATCCGTGTACTATTGCTGCCCTTCTCTAAAAAACCCTGGGCCCCCCCATGTCCTTATTTACCGTATATACCTGTGTGTAGTTCGAGTTTTTAAGACCAGATTATTTGGCAAAAAATTGGGGGTCGATCTCTAAACGGGTAATAGTTTCGTTAGATTGAAAAATATTTACCAGTAACTACCAGTAAACAATGGAAACGACGCACCACCAGCTGTGAGTGTCGGTACAGTTGCTAGGGCAGATCTCTTGCATCATCATAGCAAGCCCAAAGTAGCCAAATGTATGGTATGGTATGCACAGGACGATGTAAAACATTAAGTATTCATTTTTTAAAGTTTATTTATTGATACTGTAAATAAATTTTTGTTCATTACATTTGAAACATCAATCTTTGTTAATTAAATTTGAAACAAAAGAAAACTACGATAACATATTTTCATTAAAATATTTCATCACAAGTATATTTTACCTTAACTGTGACTGAATGAATATATTGTCAGAAATAAATATGGAAATGTAATATTTTGGCTGAAATGACGTACATATTACAGTGGAAAGTAGGATAAAATCATGACTAAAACAATGACTTTCGCTCTCTTTCATTGTTCAAAAGATTTTACCGTAACATCTTTTGAACGAAATAAAGCAAAAGTCATTGCTTTCGTCACAATTTTATCCCACTTTCCACTGTAATCTGTACGTCATTTCAGCAAAAATATTACATTTCCATATTCTCAGAAATAAATAGTAGTTTTGTTGAAATGTAATGTACAGTAATTAATATTAAAATGCAAAAAGAGCTATAAAAACACTTAATACTGTACACACGTAATGTACTGGCTGGCATCTCCACTCGTCCCTGCTCCCGCCTCCAGCGTCACCACTCCTCCCTCCGCCTCCTCCACATCGTCACTACTGTTGTATTACAATGATATTCTATCCTAATTCACTTGAATAAATACTACGATACCATATTTCTGAATATTTTCATTAAAATCCATCAAAATCATTTTCCTTGTCATCGTCTTAAGCACCAAACAGCTCCTCCCAGTCTTCTCCTTGAACAGGGCTAGAGGGTATGTGTTTTTCGAATCGTTTTCAGTTAAAAAAATGTTACATCACATGTTTATTTTACCGAAACTGCGCCTGAATGAATATATTTTCAGAAATAAATACAGGTAGTAGTTTTGCTGAAACGTGATGTATTTCAATGTAAAATTGGATAAAATACATGACGAAAACAAAAGACTTTACCTAAGCTTCCGATGTTCAAGAGATGTTACTCGTTTTTTTAATAGTTTTCGGTCAAAATCATTTTATATTACAATGATATTCTATTCATACTGTGCTTGATATATCGGTACGGTACTACACTCACGGAAATGTAATATTTTTTGCTGAAATAACATACGTACAGTGGTCCCTCGTTTAACGAGCGCCTCGGTTAACGAGATTTCGGTTAACGAGTTACCTCCCATAAGATTCTTAAATTCGGTTAACGAGTTTCTTACGAGCCGACCTCAACAACTTTTGGCTTGCACTGGGCGGTCAACCAGCTGTAGTATTAGTCCGCCAATACATTAATCGGTTCTAGGGCTTAAATTCCTTACTATTTTAGTATATATCAAGAAGTTTATACTATTCAATAATTTTAAAAGTTTAATATTAAATTTTTTAGTCATTTTAACAATTATTGAACATAATTGAAGGTAAAGTGACTAGTTTAATGCGCAGCATCCAGCCTCTTAACACAGCAAACAGGCGTTAGTCTCTCTTTGTTTTCACTGGAGGTAACATTTTACTTGAGACTCTTCAACTAAACGCTTTTTTTCTGTGTTTCCAAGCAAATTATTGGTCATTTTGAAATATATTTTACTTATTGACAATATATAGTGCAGTGTTATTTTAAAGAAAATATTCTTTATTTACAACAAGTTTCACTTTGAAAAGCACATGTTGACATTGTTTGAATCCAGCATGGGGCCTAAGAGATCAAGAAAAGCGATTTCAATCCAAACCAAGCAGGAAATCATAAAAAAACATGAACAAGGCATTAGAACAAATGCGCTATGCAAAGAATATGGCATGTCGACATCAACTGTGTCGACAATTCTTGCACAGAAAGACAAATTTAAAGAAGTGAAAGTGAGAGACAAATCTACAAGGGTGTTTAAAAGTAGATCCCTAATTGCAGAAACTGAGAGGTTACTTATCATCTGGATTAGGGAAAAACAGATGAAAGGTGATTCAGTTTCTACTGAATTCATTTGTGAAAGAGCCAGGGAGATTTACGAACATTTAAAGACAGATCAACCTGGTTCTTCAGGCACAGAATTTCAAGATTTTCGGGCCAGCAAAGGCTGGTTCGAAAAATTTAAGAAAAGAAGTGACATTTTCAGTGTTTTTAGGCATGGTGAAGCTGTTAGTGCTGATAAGGAAGGGTCAGCGAAGTTTTTAGATGAATTTAAAAAACTGATGGAAGAAGAAAATTATCTTCCACAGCAAGTGTTCTATGTGGACGAAACTGGGCTGTTCTGGAAAAAGTTGCCCAAAAGAACATTCATCACCAAAGATGAAGCCTCTTTACCTGGGCATAAACCCA